GTGTTGCCAAGAAAGAGGATGTCAGTAGGTTCTTCTTCTACACATTTTCAATTTTTAGGAGCGAATAACTTATCAATTTATCATCTCTTTTACTTGTCCGAGAGGGGACTGGCTCTTCCTTCCTACAGAAGGTGATAGAAAACTCTAATCCAGTGACTTTTCCCAAATGTCTATATCCATTTTCTTCTGTCCAATTATGTACTTAATTTGGGAAGGAATAGGTTAATGAGATTAGTTTTGCTAATCTATTGTAAACTAATCTGAGTTTTTGGATGCAGAAAGATGGCTAATCCAAAGAGCAGGCATTTCTTTGAACTTAACCCGCGGAGCCTTTAGCACATTTTAGTTTTAACTATGAACTCTAGTCTAATGATTGCATGTTGCACTCATAACGTTCTCAACTGGGAAAAATAACTCCCTGCTATCAAGAATTTGAAAATATGAGAATATTTGGTTATTAGCATGCATGGAGAACACTAGAGACACTTGGTAAGTAAAAGCAAGAGATCCGAAGTATCCTGAAATGTGTGGGACAGTCTTGCCTGATGAGGAATTGCTCTTCTTCAAATATAAAGAGTATATCCCATTGCAGACACTGCACTGAACATCAGTCGGTATGAATTCTTAATACTTTATGACCATGAGATAAATTTACAAAATTTTTGTTTCATTGGAATTGAATTGATTTCTCTTAATAATGACCACCTTTTATGTTTCTTGACTATTTTCATTTTGAATTGTAAACTTTTATATATATATCCATATATCAATTGAAATTTTCTGCCTGCTTTTAACTTATTGTATATTTACATAGCAATCCTTTTGTACATTTGCAAATATAATCTTTATATTTGTGTTGCTTCCTTTAACTCCCTTAATAGTGTGATCATTTAACATCCTTATTTGTCTCAGAACCACAGGTATGTTTGTATGTTTGGGCAAGTGGCTATCCTCAATATATCATAAGGGGGAAGTAAAGACTTACGAGAATACAATGTTGTGGAGATCCTGTGAAATGAGTGGACTTGAGAGGCTAAATCATTCATCTAGGAACATTTTGCTAAAGTTTGAGTGGTTTTATTCTAGGGCAAGTTTTCTCAGCATTGGTACTACTGATGTGCTTTGGCAAGATCATTATTTTTTGAGGCGACTGTCCTTTGCATTGTAGGATAACAGCATTCCTGGCCTCCCCACAATGGCTGCCAGGGTGTATAATCTCCCACTTATGGAGGAACACAATTTCTGTAGAAGGCACACTTCCAATGCTATTTTTGAAAAGATCAATGGAGATTTTTTGTGAGAAAGTGCAAGTAAATGTTATCCAAGAGGTAATTCTGTAGCTATCTTGAATATCTGGTTTGTTTATATATGCATGCATGGACATATTGATTTTTTTGTATTATGAAAAGTGCCATTTAGTGTCTGGTGCCAAGTTTGCTCTTTCTGTGCTATAATTTTCTCTAATTATCGCTACATCTTTAATAAGTCATTTTATATAAAGCTGTGTTGGTGTGGGTGGTATATGAAATTAAAGTACAGGACACAAAAGGAATGATTACACATTATTCTTTTGCAAAATCCGGCAAGTTAATAGCAGTATTGTTGAGGAGGATGGTAGTTCTAGGCTTCCCAGTACAGACAAACAACAGAGCATGCAAGTGTTTGTCTAAGGTGATTCATAAAAGAGAACATATTTTGGAGAAACAGCTATGAAATATGCAGGTATGAGACAGATATTCTCAAATTTGCCAAACGGAAATAATTCTCTAAATGAGAGAGCTCTGATAACTGGTTTACATAGTCAAAACGCTACATAAATATGACCATACATCCCCAAAGTCGTAGCCATTGTCATATTCTTAAACTTTTTTTTTTTTTTTACTAATTCCACAGGAAAATGATAATTGCAATCTAATTAACAGTGTTGCTAATAGATCTTGTCTGTCCTAATTCTGACAGAGATGTGTGAACAAGGGAGTTATTACACACAGACGTTAACGCATAATATAAATTCTCAGATTACAGAGCTTGAGTATCTTGGATGTCGCTAGGTCTATCACATTCTTTTAAAGGTAAGCTCAGCAGAGGGAAAATGACTAGGATTACGTAGCTTCTTATCCCTTCTAGCTCTAGTATTATTTTTTCCTATGGAGAGTAGAAAAAGTCTTCCTTCTCTTACATTAATTTCTTATTAATTGAAACCTATGAAAAAATAAAATCAGATGTGTTAATCTTTTGTTTAGACACAACTGTAACTTAACTATTATGTGTTTCTTGTTAAAAAAAATCATTTTAATGAGAAAATCATACCTGTTCTATAGGAATATTTGTAAAAATGTAAAATATCATCCATGGTTTTTTTTACATGTGAAAATATTTCTGTCTGACAATCTGCAGAATGGGAGACAACTTTTGCAATCTATACATATGACAAAGGTCTAATATCGAAATCTACAAGGAACTTAAACAAATTTACAGGAAAAAGAAACATTAAAAAGTGGGTAAAGGAAATGAACAGACGCTTCTCCAAAGAAGAGATTTATGTAGCCAATAAACATGGAAAAAAGTTCAACATCACTGATCATTAGAGACATGCAAATCAAAACAATGACATACCATCTCAGACCAGTCAGAATGGTGACTATTAAAAATTCAAGAAACAGGCCCGGGCGCAGTGACTCAAGCCTGTAATCCCAGCACTTTGGGAGGCGGAGGCGGGCGGATCACGAGGTCAGGAGATCGAGACAATCCTGGCTAACACGGTGAAACCCCTTCTCTACTAAAAAAAATACAAAAAACTAGTGGGGCGAGGTGGCGGGCGCCTGTAGTCCCAGCTACTCCGGAGGCTGAGGCAGGAGAATGGCGTGAACCTGGAAGGCGGAGCTTGCAGTGAGCCGAGATGGCGCCACTACACTCCAGCCTGGGCGACAGAGCGAGACTCTGCCTCAAAAAAAAAACCAAAAAAATTTAAGAAACAACAGATGCTGGTGAGGCTGTGGAGAAATAGGAACTTTCTTCACTATTGATGAGAATGTAAATTAGTTCAACCATTGTGGAAGACAGAGTGACAATTCCTCAAAGACTTAGAACCAGAAATGCCATTTGGCCCAGCAATCCCGTTATTGGGTATAAAGGAATAAAAATCATTCTATTATAAAGATACTGGCATGTGTATGTTCATTTCAGCACTAGTCACAATAGCAAAGACATGGAATCAACCCAAATGCCCATCAATAATACACAGGATAAAGAAAATGTGGTACATATACACCATGGAGTACCATGCAGCCATAAAAAGGAATGGGATCATGTCCTTTGCAGGGACATGGATGGAGCTGGAAGCCATCATCCTCAGTAAAATAACACAGGAACAGGAAACAAAACAAAACAACTCACGTTCTCATAAGTGGGCGGTGAACAATGAGAACACATGGACACAGGAAGGGGAACAACAACACAGGCCTTGGCCTGTTGGGGACATGGGGAAAGGGAGAGCATCAGGTTAAGTAGTTAATGCATGCAGGGCTTAATACTTAGGTGAAGAGTTAATGGGTACAGCAAAACACGATGGCACATGTTTACCTATGTAACAAACCTGCACGTTCTGCACATATATCCCGAAATTTAAAATTAAATTAAATTTTAAAAAGAAAAGACAAAAACATTCAGTCTGAAAACCCTCACAAAGCTTTCTCTCTGATGACACAAATCAGAGATGAAAGGCAAACATTTGGATACGAAAAATAAAAACAGTCACATATCTAAATAAATATAGGGTTCTCTGGCTGAAAAAAAGTTGTGATTAATCTGAAGAGAATTATTTCATAGCATCATATATACCAGATATTTAGGGGATTTAGGTAATAGCACAAATACTGTGAGTTCAAAATACATTACGGTCACCAGTGGGAGTAGGTTTAAAGGAGAATAAAAAGAATGAGTACAGATGTGAACACTGGATCCCATAATGAACACACAAAAGTTTTAGGAGTGTTTCCCTTACATTAGAGAAAACATTGTAGGCATCTTCATTTAAATGGCTGCCATGTGTCTTTCCCTGACAATAATATATTCAAATGTTCCTCAAATGATTTATGTCATGTTCTCAAGTGTGACTGTTAAGGCTGTGCTATATGTCTGCAATAGTTACCATGGCCTTTGTAGAATTTGGATTCCAAAGGTACAGACTGTGAACTGGGTGAGTAAGGAATGAAATTGGCAGAAGGATGGTGAATTGAGACTTTTGATCCTTGATCTTATGTTCCTGAATTGAAATATCTATGTGTATGTGTGTGTGTGTATGTATAATATATATTATAATTTTATTATATATTCTATATAATAGATCTACACACAGATATGTATATTCACAATGCTTTTTAAAATTTTTATTTAAAGAAAAGATTATAATTGTAAGACTTAAATGAACTTTTCTTGACTACAACTTCCTCCTACCAGAACTGAGAATAAAATGCTGTTTCTTGGATTCAGACATTTTCCTTTCGACCTGTGGCAAGCCTAATAAAATAGTGCCAGAATTGTCAACATTAACCACGTGTATAGATGCTTTATTTTTGTAACATTTCTGCATGAGGAGCCTTAACCTGCTATTTCTTAGGCTTTGTCTCCTATAGGTGGCATTCAAGAAACTGACCAGGTCTCTAATGATAGCAGTAGATCCCATTTCTGTCTTCACTTGAGATGATGTACCTTTGACAATAAGGGTCAGCAAAGTACCTTGAAAAAAATATTTACTCAACAGCAAGATGGCTGGGAGTTGTTCTGTTGTGTTACAAGTGCTGGTAAATAAATCATGAGGAATAATTTTTAAATACAGAAGGGTGTGGCTGTAGCTAGTAATGCTGATGAAAATCAGAAAGGGAATCCAAGAGGGTCCCAATAGTGTTAGACTTTTTAAACAGTAAAAGCTGTGTAGGAATCCTTCTGTGAACCATAAAAATAATAAACGCTGAGCCCATTGGAACATAATCTCAATCAGCAAGATGCCACTGCTTTCCAGATTTCCTCACAGGGCCCTGCTAATTCCATGCCAAAACTGGCAGTGGATTTCTTCCTTCTAATCTCCCCTAATGCCTTATTCGATTATTGTCACTGCTCTCCGACCATGCACTGTCCCTTCAGACTCTCATTTCCCAACTGAGTCAGTCAGAGGAGGCTGGGTGTCTGCAGGACATAATCTAAGACCACAAACCACCTTGTTCCACGTGAGAAGAAGGAAACAAGAAAGAAGGGAGTCAGGGGAATCCTGCAAATTTTTTGGCAACCTCTTTATCTGTTGGATTACTGACTTGAGGCAAACAAGGAATAGAGATATGAAGGGTTTGAAAGATTTCTCCAGTTGATTGGCAAAGCAGAGCTGGCTAGTAGGGAGGACGACGCTAGGAGGAGGGTGAATTGTGCATTTCAGTGCACTGCAGGATGGCGTCGCCTCTGCCCTGGCTGTGCATTATTCTGTGGTGAGTAAGATTCTTTTTCCTGAGTTTTCTTTTTATCTCAGAGGAAAGGAAAAGTGTACATCCATTGGGTGACTCCTATATCGAATCATGAAAGAGGCCAGAAGTGGTGTAGAATGTATTTGTAACAGGGTGGAATAGAGTAGATAAAACGTGTTCTCTGAGTCTGGGAGTAAGGGTCATTGACTCTCTACTCACAGGCTAGAAAGTGCCCTAGGGAAACTCGAAGATGAAGGCAACTTCTACCCAGAAAACGTCAGTCGGATCCTGGACAACTTGCTTGAAGGCTATGACAATCGGCTGCGGCCGGGATTTGGAGGTAAGAAGCTGCATCTTTGCTACACAAACACCTGTAGTCTCCTTCCTCCGTTTCTGCCCCTTGAAGACCCAGAAGAGTCAGAAATGAGGTAGAGGGAAGGGGCAGGGGCAGGGGCACGGGAGAGAGACCATGTGTATGTTCCTATCCAGTCTCTGCCTCATCCACCATTAGTAGCCTTGTTCAAGTTATTTGAACTCTCTAAGCCTCATATCTGAATTGTTGTGTGGGTATATGATCAATGTTTGCCTCATAGAGTTGTATGAGTGCAAAATGAGATTATTGATGTAAAACAGTTTTCTTAGCATTTTCCCATTAAAGCCATTAATATACATTAATTACTATCATTTTCATTAGAACAAATCTAGCTTCTTTCATTCCTTAATGTTCTCCCAATTGACTAGAATACATTCAAAATAAGGCCACTGACATGAGTTTTCAGAGTTGAGAGACTGAAGGATCTACTGGAATGCAATAGGATGCATTGCAGATACTAGCTGTGATAAGGGGTTTGGCAGTAGAATGCTGAGATCAATCCCTTTAACATCAGTAGTGATAATTGTTTCATCCCTCTGGGCTAATTTCAGGTGCTGTCACTGAAGTCAAAACAGACATTTATGTGACCAGTTTTGGGCCCGTGTCAGATGTGGAGATGGTGAGTGAGTTCTAAGTGAGTTGGGTATTTTCATTTCGGGGAGGATAGTGGAGTCCCAAAACTAATGATAATGGGCATGGCCGCCAAGCTTGGCTCCAGATTCATGACACAGTATGTGTATTCATGCTGGGAGGGCATGACCATTAGAGCAGATTCCTGGCTTAATCTTCACATTTCACTAAGGGCTTGAACATTTTAAGCTGAGGGACTTTTTAAAATTATGTCCTCTCTTCCATCCACATACTATGCACTAATTCTTCCCTCCAAAGAGAAGAGTTTTTTCCCCTTCTTTGTGAAGCTCTAGCAAATTTATTGGAGGAGGAAAAAAACCCACACAGATCCTATTCCACATAAAAGTTTATTGAGTATGTCTATGATACCTAAAACATAATTGTCTTTTGTGGAAACATCATTATCAGTATGTTTTATTAAAACAGTAAAGAGGTCATTTGGAAAGGCTAATGCTCTCCACCTTTTACATTGAGGGTGGACCAGTAGGTGTTCTGGGGACTCTGTTCCAGGTACAGATGGCTGTAGCATTCGTAAGAGGGTATTTATAGTAAGACGCAATGAAAACTTGAACTCATCTTTTAGAACAAAGTGTATCCTGGTATTCTTGTACGGTTCTCAGGTGGCATTTCTCTCTAAAACTGAAATGTAAATACGAATGCTGAAGTAAACATAACTGTCTTTAAAGAGGTTCATCATTAGGTTTCATTAGGGAAATGTAATTCTAAAGAAACAGTTATTGGAGACTTTTTCATTTTCTGCTTTTTTAAGTTGGCAAGAAAAGACGATGTATAGAAAGAATAAAGGAAGGAGTAAAGGAAGAAGAGAAAGGAATGTGGAGGAAAAGAAGGAAGAAATAACATAAGAAAGAAAGGGAAAGTGGGAGAAAGGGTTTTATTCAAGAGATAAATATCTTACTATAAAAGGAGAAAGAGTCAGCATTATTCAGAATCCTGGATTATTTTAGTATCATATTTTCCATTCGTGTTCTAAGCCACTCCAAGTATAAACAACCACAACAATTTGCCATTGTGTTGTTGAAGTCTGGGTATTCTTAATATTCTATCTTACGCTTGTGTCTGTTTTTACAGTTTATTTGTACAATAGATCCCTATTACATCCTGGGTCATTATTGGATGGGCATATTGCTTGTCAAATTATATTTTTAAAATGTAATCACTACTTGTCACAATAAGTTTCACAAAGGAATTTATATAGTAGGCAAAGCAATTATTGGCAATACTTTGATGTAATTGCAAGTTGTTATTTGTTATTGACTTTTGCAATAGCTCTTATTATAATTATTAAACATTTCAATGTTATTCATAAAAGCCACAAATTAACTCATAATTTTGATTATACATACTTAAATGATACTCTCTTTAGAATAATCATGGTAACACTTGTTTTTATGTTCCCTGAGAACAATATAAAATAATTTTGATGTGCAGCTATAGTGTGTTTATCAAGTAAGGTTTATCTATGTGTGGAATTTTACTGAATGTTACTCTGATGCTCTGAGATCCGTTTGAGGGTGAACGAGGTACAAAGGGTAATAGTTAGACTAACCGACGGTATAAAGGCCAGCCAGCACAAAGGCAAAACTAAATATTTCCATAATCTATTTTCTAGATTAAGGAGGACATATTGATAGATGGAAATGTGGATGACTGGATAGATAAAGAGGAAGAATATTAAGGAAAGTCAAGGTGGAGGAGGGAGGTGTAAACATCACAGCACTATCTTTTATAACAATACAAACTTTAAGTTTGAGAACAATAATAATTACTCGCTAAAATTATAATTTTGTGAGAATTATTGCCATAAAAATTTGCTTTATTGCTTAAGTTTAGAGATTGGGTGTATAGGCTAGTGAATAAACTATTCTTAGCGAACTGTCTTTCCAGCCTGCGCGAATATTTTATTTTCTCTTAGGAGTATACGATGGATGTTTTTTTCCGCCAGACTTGGACAGATGAGAGGTTGAAGTTTGGGGGGCCAACTGAGATTCTGAGTTTGAATAACTTGATGGTCAGTAAAATCTGGACGCCTGACACTTTTTTCAGAAATGGTAAGAAGTCAATTGCACACAACATGACAACTCCCAATAAACTCTTCAGAATAATGCAGAATGGAACCATTTTATACACCATGAGGTGAGGTTTCTCCAATTCTATTTCCCCCGCCTAAATGATATGTCCATAATACTAACTCAGAAACACTGATTTCAATGTTCCTAGGCTTACCATCAATGCTGATTGTCCCATGAGGCTGGTTAACTTTCCTATGGATGGGCATGCTTGTCCACTCAAGTTTGGGAGCTGTAAGTTATAACAGGCTTCTGAGAGTCAAATAATACATCCAAAATATGTAATTACTTGGTTTTAGCTGATACTGGAAATCAAGGAAGAAATATAATCATGACACTATCAGTGTGGTTCTAGGAATATACTTAATCATTCTGTCAGTCTCATAAATTGAGGGTTTAGTCATCAAGATTAAAGAAAACATTTAATACAATTTATGTTTGTATTTCCTTTTTTATAGACAATGTGCACTTTGAAGGAAAAAAAGACAACTCATCAAATTCACTGCTATATTTAATTTGTTTCAAATATGTAGATGCTTATCCCAAAAGTGAAATCATATATACATGGAAAAAAGGACCACTTTACTCAGTTGAAGTCCCAGAAGAATCTTCAAGCCTTCTCCAGTATGATCTGATTGGGCAAACAGTATCTAGTGAGACAATTAAATCTAACACAGGTAAGAATTTGACCAAAGGATGGAAATAATTCCGCAAGATGACTCCAGTGCACATTTTCAAAACATCTTCTTTTTCCTTTGCCTTAGCCATTCTCAGCTAAGCATGCTGTTTTGAAGTGATGAGTAGCTTTCCTTAAAGTTGATTTTGCAACCAGGTGCATGTAAAGATTTGTGTGGTCTTGGAATAAGTAGTTTTTTATGTATATGATATAAAGAACCCTACTGAAAACAATGAGCTGATGTGTCTCTTTGCTCTGTCATCTGCTGATCAAGTAGCTTTCTCGTATACTGAAATGTACCTTTGCTTGTTTTCTTCCAGGCAATGTTAATTTAAAAACTGTCAAGATTTATATTCAACTGCATTGTTTTTGCAGACTGTCAGCAGTAATAATACTGATGTATGTGTCTTCCACCAGGTGAATACGTTATAATGACAGTTTACTTCCACTTGCAAAGGAAGATGGGCTACTTCATGATACAGATATATACTCCTTGCATTATGACAGTCATTCTTTCCCAGGTGTCTTTCTGGATTAATAAGGAGTCCGTCCCAGCAAGAACTGTTTTCGGTATGTCTCACATTTTGTACTTCACGTACGTTCATCTTCCACCTTTCATTGCTTGTATATTTTGAGTAAATATTCACACCGGTGCACTTTTTCAATCTACAAAGAAAGTAGGTTCCTGTTTTATGCAGACATATGTATCATGCAAAATCACTGTCATTATATCACAAGTTGTGTGGTGAATCAACAAAACATTTGTCTCAGCGAGAATTATGACTGGTTTCCTATGACTTTCATGTGTCCTATTTGCAGTGCTTTATCTTGATTTTCTTTGTCATAACTGAAGAAAAGCAGAAAGGTAAAAACTGCATGTAAATCCATGAAAGCAAAAGATTAAGATATTGAACACAGGAATACATAAGTTGTATACCCCTTTTATTAGGTTGAACCATATATAATTGTCATCTCATTAATTTTTTATGATTCAACCTACATATTTAGTTCCACTTATATATAGAATCACTACTAACTGTGATAAAACAAAATTAAATAATAAGAAAAAGAGCTTTAACTGGAAACATCAGTGACAAACTCCAATGTTTTTCCTGGGTTTAATGATTATAAATTTAGTAGTCTGAAGATAGACTTGAATTAAATAGAAATCATAAATCTTGATTTTTTTAAATGTACTATGTTAAAATAGATCTTTTTGAAAATTACTAAAGAATACCAACATAATGATGTCGACCATCAATATTATACATCTCCTAATTGTATAAATTCCCCAGGTCATAGTTCAAGAAGGAAAACTGCCAGCAAGTGAGTGATAAATTTTATCTTCTAATGAGTAAATATTATACCTTAAAATCTAGCTAGAAATAGAATCAAATTAGGTAACCTAATTTTATGCTAATATTTATACCATATTTATTTATTAACTGTTATTTAATATGTTAGTTGGTAAAACTGATCTGAAATTCAAGTTTTTTTTCTTTTTCTTTCTTTCTTTTTTTTTTTTTTTTTTTGAGACGGAGTCTCGCTCTGTCACCCAGGCTGGAGTGCAGTGGTCCGATCTCGCTCACTGCAAGCTCCGCCTCCCGGGTTCACGCCATTCTCCTGCCTCAGCCTCCCGAGTAGCTGTGACTACAGGCAATGCCACCACACTGGGTAATTTTTTGTATTTTTAGTAGAGACAGGGTTTCACCGTATTGGCCAGGATGGTCTCAATCTCAGGACCTCGTGATCCGCCCGCCTCGGCCTCCCAAAGTGCTGGGATTACAGGCGTGAGCTACCTCGCCCGGTCTCAAGTTTTTTTTTCTTAAGTGGTAATAATTTGTTACAAGTTCTCTCAAGCCCTAAACAACTAGAAGTATTTACGACTTAAATTTTACAATAAACTAGTTCAATTCAGCAAACTCAAAATTTTTTGAGCAATTATAATGTATAAGTCACTTCACTAAATATTGAAAGATATAGAAATGATAATACTTATGATAATAATTATGAACAATTATAATACAAAATATATTCGAAATATTAAAAAATTACTTTGCCTTGGTAGAGTGTTTTATCTTCTCTACTGACACATTCTCATTTGATTTTGCCATAGGATTCCCAGTACTAATATTACATTTCCTTTTCTTTTTTATTTTAGGGATCACCACTGTTTTAACTATGACCACTTTGAGCATTAGTGCCCGGCACTCTTTGCCAAAAGTGTCATATGCCACTGCCATGGATTGGTTCATAGCTGTTTGCTTTGCTTTCGTCTTCTCTGCTCTTATCGAGTTCGCAGCCGTCAACTACTTTACCAATCTTCAGACACAGAAGGCCAAAAGGAAGGCACAGATTGCAGCCCCACCTACAGTGACAATATCAAAAGCTACTGAACCTTTGGAAGCTGAGATTGTTTTGGTAATTGTTTATTTTTTCTACCGTTACCTACTGTAGGAAAAAGCAGCCTAACTAGTGTTAAGAAACAACTAAGTGTCCAAAAGTAGTGTGAGTTGAGCACAGTTTATATAACTGTACTTTCAAGAGCAAGGCCAGTTTCTGTTCCAACTTCACAGAGAAAAGCTAAGGAACAATCCTTCATTTATCTTTGCTCTAAACTTTGGGCATTCTTCTTTCATCATGCTCACTTATGCTGGCAGATTCCAGGCTCTCAGAGGAGACTAGAAAATTCTAAGCCTTTAGATGTTTCTGTTGAACAGAATCACTTATACCAACTAGGGGGAAAAAAGTAAAAGAAAAAAAATGTTTTTTCTAATGAGGTTTCAGAGTCTACAGGAAAGAAACAGGGACTTCTATGGAATGGACAATTTTTGTTATAAATCTGCTTGCTGCTTTATTTCAAGAGGGCAAGGCATCTGTGAATAATGAATAATAGATTCTCTGAATGTTGAATCATAACCCAAGAATTTGATTCATATTAAAACATTTTCATATTCGCATTTGTATATTAAATATATGTATATCAATGAGCTTATATTCAATGGCTTATATTCAGTGGGAAATAGTTATAAATTTATGTTAAATTTGCTGTGGCTAAGCTCTGGTACCCAGAGGTTTTTGAATAAGAAACAAATGGTAACATTAATATTTTAAGGACCATTAATATGCCCCCAGATTTCAATTTTGCATAAAAGTAAATTATAACAACAATTAAGCTGCACATTCTTATTTTAGTGGATAATAAAACTGATTGACAGGCATAAATTTTTATTTTAATACAAATCTTAAAGAGTAGCTCTAAGAACAGGAATATTGTGCTCTGTGAATTCAAGTAAGGCAGATACTTTGAACTGAAATTTTTTTACAACTGATCAATTCTAGTAAGCACTTTCATATCTGAAAACGATGTGCAGCCCAGTAATCCTCAGTTTAACTTTATGATGAAAGTTTTAAAGCTATTTGTTTTTTACTTTTCAGAATCTGAGGCACTTGTTGACTAAAAAGGTGATCATTTTCTTATTGAAATGTTTGTCTTTGATAAACTAAGAAACTTATTTGAGAATTTATATTTTCTCCAAGAAATGAGAAGCCATCCCCATAATATGTAGAAATATATAATTTAAGGATTTGTTTTTATTAGCCCTCATTTAAAAAATAAAGATAAAAGAAAAAAAATTCCGTTCGGCGATCCAGTTTAATTACCTTGTTTCACAAGTGGAAAACACAGTCTAGAAGAGGGAAAATATAAGTTTCTAGTTGGTAGAAAATCTAGGAATTGATTTAAAAACTTTGTATAAGCCGAGTGCAGTGGCTCACACCTGTCATCCCAGCATTTTGGGAGGCTGAGGTGGGAGGATCACTTGAAGTCAGAAGTTAAAAATCAGAATGGACAACATAGCAGGCTGACTCCCATATCTGTAAAAAATTAAACAAATTACTCAGTGGTGGTGGCATATGCTTGCAGTTCTACCAACCAGGAAACTGAGGCAAGAAGATGGCTAGAATGCAGGATTTTGAAGTTACAGTGAGCCATGATCACGCCACTAAACTCCATCCTGGGCGACACATTTAGATCCTGTCTCTGTAATAATAATAATAATAATAATAATAATAATAATCAGAAGAAGAAGAACCTCTGAAATCCACAACATTACAGAGGCTGAGGCCACCCTCCCCAATAATTCCTTAAAAACTGAAATATATGAGAGTGCATACCACAGGATAAAACATTTTAAGAATATAGTTGAGTCCCAAAATTCTTCCTTTGACTTAATAATATATTCTTTATATATATGTAGTTTGAAAGGTCACCAAATATATATTTTTTTACAGAATATCCTAGTCTGCAGACTTGTTTCACAATGTTAAAACCATTTTTTGTCATGATAAATTCCAAATGTTTCTGAGAATTTTTTCATGTTTGTAGAAATAAGTGGTTCTGTTACAAGATATCTGTATGCATATAAGTATGTAATCTATATATTGTCCATAGGTCATATACATATTAATACATATCTATAAATGAAAAAAGTGCTTATCAGAATTCAGCTTACCAGTTTCTTATTTGTGTAATGTAGTAAAAGTAAAAAAAAAAAAGATGGCCAGAAACAGAAAAAAAATGGATTGATTTTGAATATGCTCATAGGTCAGATATTGAAATAAAAAGAAAGACCAATATTTTTGCTTTACCTTTTTTGAAACATGCAGTACTGAGAAGAGGATGATTTCGAATCCTTGGAGAAAACATAATCACCCCCTCAGGCTATTATTTTAAAGGTGTAAGTTATTAATTTAAGATGGAATTTAAGATCTCAGTTTTTTATATAAACTGCCTCCCGTAAACCTAAAATAGTAACATATAATGAGTAGGTCCTCTGGGAAGCTAGATTTTTTTAAATGGCATATAAATAATCTCCAAGTACTTTTTTCCTGCAGGTAACATTTATTTTTTCTTATGAAAAGTTGTATTTCTGAACCTGGTTTTACTTAAAATATTTTAAAGCAATACATAGGAAAATTTTAATTCTAAAAGGCTGAAGTATAAAAATAAACATAAAAACAAAATGACCAAATCAAACAATGTAAACCTTGAAGATATCAAAACTAAATATAGGTGATTACATAGGACATTTGCATTACATTTGTTCATGTCAAACTTTGGCAAGTTGTCTTATATGATGTAGAGGAACAAACATAAATTACACACTTACAATTTATACTACACAATGGTATATTTTGATTGCAAGACATTTTCTTCCAAATACCATGACATTTAAAAATACCTATTCAGTTGTAATCAAAACAACATTATTCGAGTAAGTTTGACATTGAAATAGCACACTAATGTGGTAAAGTTGAAGTGAAATTAAGTGCTTGGATATTTCATGTGATTCTATGTTGTATATTTTAGTATGTTCATTGCTTTTCACAGGAAACTACTTACAGTGAATGTGGGTAAAAGTTTATTCATTTTATCACTTTGATTCTGACCTTAAAACATAATAATAATGGAGAAACTCAAGCATTTAAAATCTAGATCTCAAACCCAAAAGGACACCTTAAAGCTAAATCTTCAGAAATGCTCTGTAGACTAGGACACCTTAAAGCTAAATCTTCAGAAATGCTCTGTAGACTATCTTTCTGTTTTTAAGACATATGGAATTAGATATTTTATTTTCTATTAACTATTTCTGGAAAAGAAATTGTCAACAGTGTTTATCCCACTTATATGTGATTTTTTCTTAATGTTTTTATCTGGTATGCTACCTTAACATTAGAGAGTTATTTATATCTTCATGAGTTTCAGAGCCTATTAACATGTCTGAAGTATACCTGTACCTATATTGTGTGTAAGATCAACTTTGGTCCTTGATTTCTTTTGGCATAGTTTGCTAGTTTTCTTGTTATTTTAGAGGTCTATGCCCTCATCACTACATTCCTGACAGTCAATCACTCACCCATCCCCTCTGCAATCCTTTGAGCAGTGTCATTACTCTCAATGTAGCTTCTCTTCTTCACATGGGTGTGATGCCTTTTGTAAATTATATAACACAAAATTGACCAAAATTTCATTAGTCAGGACAATTAGTGTATTTATGTTGATTGTATTATGTATTCATTTCTTTTTTTTCTTTTCATCTGACACCTATTTATTGACTACTTAGGCATTCATTGAATTATTCATACTATATATATTTGATAAGTGCCTTTATGTGCCAGGCCTTTTGTAGAGTGTTGAGGATATATTAGTGAGTGATATTGGAGGGCCTCTTCCCTCATGGAGTTTCTGGTACAGCAGGAAGTGAGAGAGAGCAATGAGCTTTAATAATACCTTGGAATAAAGCCTGTCGTTAGAGATGTATAGTGAGCTGCAGAAGAGCCATGCAAAAATGTCTTACTCAGTCTGGAGGGGTTTTCGTTTTTAGCAGAGTGATGTCTAAGCTCAGAACAGAGAAGAAATTAGCCTGGCTGTGTGCTGGAAGCTCTAAGCCAGTTGCTACAAACTTGGGCATAGAGAGGACAATAAGGTATATACTCTTCCTGTGCTCCTTTTTAAGGTAGTAGGGTGCACTGGGCCATTACCATGCTGCTTTTATCTGTGTAGAGAGAGGTGAAGAATCGAATACTGAAAGGTTTACCTTTTCTACTCCAAATATTGCACAAATAAACGGAGTCTTGCTCTGTCGCCCAGGCTGGAGCAGAGTTTTTTTGAGTACTGTCATTACTCCCTACAATTAAGGACTGAATTAAGACCATTAAAGACTCTATGTACCAGAAAGATCACAGTGCCCTTCTTGGTTGTGCCATTGTACGATTTATGGGGCAGGCAGGATGCATTAGATGAGGGTTGTAAGTGGTTAGTCCCTTCCCCATACCTTCTATCAAATCCCCACCCAATACATCATTATGAATCCTCCAAACTTTCTGATATGTTTTCTAGACATGTTCCCTAGTACCATGAATCAACTATTCAATATATTGCTGCCAATAAGCTGCGTGTCTGTAGAAATTCTGGAGTCGTGTCTGTGTTCAACTCTACCAGCTGAACACAAACACAGGAAAACCCAACAGAGTTCTAATTTTCCCCATAATGATTAATATGATGACTTTTGCAAACTATCAATACTAAGTGTTTTCAAAAAATATTTTCTCTTATTTGTGTTGTCCCTCTTTGCTTTTTCTAAAAACAAATGCTTGGTTTATCCCTTAGTAAGGCAGTCCTGGTTAGAGTATCTTTTTAAATGGTGGGAGCAATAGGTTACCTCTCAGACCTACTGAGACTCATTGAATTACATATAAAAATTTGTCTAAATACTTCCCAAAACACTTTTTCCCTCTGTTACATAGTTGATGGTCATAAAGTCCAGTTTGACTTAAAGTACCTTTGCAATATGGCATTACTTGAAACAAAGCAGTGCTCTATAAATACCTAAAGCAGGATGGCACTCAGCAGCAGGGGAGCCCTGCAAAAATTCAAAACCACAGGCGTTCCACTCAAAACAGTGACAGCCTCAAGCTGAGCCCTCATCTGGACTCTGACAAAAGCCTATTTTACCATCAACTGAAGCTGCTATGCTTACAATAGAGCAGGCAGGACTGATGCAAACCTGTAGCTTAAACGGCTCACAAAATTGGCTTTCTTTTCATTTCAGAAATTCAGCGTGTTCCTTCTAAACTAATGTCCAATCCACTTGTGCTGTCAATTGCCAGTTATTTAGCAACCGATTATCCAGATGCAGGGTAGCCAGGCCTCTTGCATTTCCCTTAGCCTATCATATTTGCTGCCTGTTAGAAATTCCCCCAATCACTCCTGGGCAGTGGGACACTTGTGAATCTAAGTCAGTGATTTCCCATGGGGAACTATTTCCCCCCAAATATATTTGGCAGTGTCTGGAGATACAACTTGAGGTGGAGGTGGCTAATGGTATCATGTTGGTAGAGGCCAGGGATGCTGCTCCACATCCCAAGACACAGAGGAGGGTCCTCCATAACAAAGAGTGATTGGCCCCAAAAGGTCAGTAGTTCTGAGCTTGAGACACTGTGCCCAAAACGCTAAAGTTGATAGGAAGTATAGCATAATAATTGTTGAGAGTGTGGTCTGTGGCATCAGAGGGAAATTGAATTCAGATCCTGCCACTCATTACCTTTGTGAGCTTCCTGCTTAAACCTCCATTTGCTCATCTATCAAATGAAGATAATATGACATTGTGGGTTTTTTGAAGAAATTCATGAAATAATATTTGAAAATTGCCTTGTAATGCTAGTCAACAATAAGCATTTAGAACTGGTGCTTATAATGTAATATAAAACCATATTGAAATACAATGTAACATAATCATAGAACTTTTCACCCTTCTCTTTGCCTACCTCCTCCAACAAATCTTGGGAAATGTTTAGATTTTTTTCATTTGTTGATTCAGCATTTGTTTATTAAACAAATACCGAGTTTTAAATATTTGCTAGACACTGTGGAATGCTCATACATATGAATAATGTGTCTTCCACCATTGAGGAGATTCCATGCTAGGAAAGGAGATAAGGCACAACAAAAATAATTATACCTACAAGAAAGAAAATGATAATATCTACAAGAGTCATAATAACTAGGCAGAAAAATGCATAAAGGCTGGAGTAATCAGTGATGGTAGGTGTTAATGAGTTTGGTATCAAAAGATGTATGGGAAAGATAAAAATGGGTGACAGGTGGATGTTATTTCAGACAAAGAAGAAATAAAGATATGTGAGTGGTGAGAATGAGAAGCAGACGTATTTTGAAAATGATTTAAAAAATAGATATAGCTAAGATTCCTGAGCAAAAAATATATGTATATATGTATATGTGTGTATATATACACACATATATGTTTGTGTATATATCTTTATATCAGGCATTTTTCTTAAATTCTTAAAAATATAGGAAAAAACGTACATGTTAAGTAATATTTGTCCTTGCCTTCACAGATAGAAACTTGAAGCTTAGAGAGAATTAGAGTCTATGGCACTTAGGAGGTGTTTAAATCATATTGCACGCAATTAGTAGCTATGAGACTGTAATCTAGGGATTTCTGACTCTCCTTGTTCTCTTAACTCCTAGGAAACCCTCCACAGAGATTGTTTGGGGAAGTAGATGAGGACAAGGGGAATGCTAATGTAGGAAACCTTTAATTTCAATATAATTTAATTTTAACTTTTTAATTTAAGTAAAATTACAGTATCCATTTTACTACAAATTTTTCATGGTGTTTGGTTCTGAATGGTACTTCTGACCTCTGGACCATGATTATTTGGGAATCCCCATTAAGTCTTTTATGACACTGTGACAATGCACAGATTCACAAATAACTGCCCCCACCACATCTCTAAAAAACAGGGGGAGAATAAGCAAGGCTTTACATTTTTATGGTACTTAATGTTTTATAGTCACTGCTTTATTCCAATGAACTAGGCATGTCTTCCCTCTTTCTACCTAAAATAGAAAAACATGTTTCAGACAGATAATGCATGCTGTTAAAAGTCAAAATGAGTGTAGAAAGAAAATCTGCTCTGAAGGCTGGCTTCTTTCTACTCTATCATGATTCTTAGAAATGTTTGCTAGAGGAAAGTATTTTAGTGTTCCATATGTGGGAGGAGGATGGCTCTTTTTGGAGGATGAAACAGTGACACCTTTTGCTCTTTCAGGTAAAGAATATTTTAATACTATATTTAATAGGTGAAAATTTAGAGTCTGAGAAATATGATAGAAAATTCTTGAAAAATGGTTCTGTGTTCTCTAGGAGAGGCAGCATGCACTGAGACAGTTACTCTGCTTCTATCCCCACACAGCCTGATGATTCTGGACACAGTAGTCCTCAGCTATCATCTATTTTTTTTTTTTTTTTAAGATGGAGTCTTGATCTGTCCCCAGGCTGGAGCGCAGTGGCGCCATTTTCGCTCACTGCAATCTCCGCCTCCCGGGTTCAAGTGATTCTCCTGCCTCAGCCTCCTGAGTAACTGGGATTACAGGCACCCGCCACCAAACCGGCTAATTTTTTGTATTTCTGAGATGGGGTTTCACCATGTTGGCCAGGTTGGTCTTGAACTCCTGACCTTCTGATCCACCCACCTCGGCCTACCAAAGCTGGGATTACAAGAGTCAGCTACTACGTCTGGCCCATCTGTTTTTAATAGAAAGTTTCCCTCATCTCCTCTTCAAGAGCAGCATACTAGCCCTCCTAATATTTTAAACTCTCTTCTACCTCTAAGACCTATGACTAATTTAATTCTGTACCACAGAATTAAGTACCACAGTTCTGGGCCAATAGATAAGAAAGATAGCCCTTGGTTGGAATTTACTGTGGTTCTTTTCAAATCAAATCTTGACTACGCCATTTGTTTTTGCTCTTGTTAAAGAAACAGATTTCTCCATGGCCCCTAAAAACAGTGAACCTAAGCTCTCTCTATGAGAACTATTATTATTTAGATACCCAGTAAGTTTCATGGCAAACCAAATAACAAAATCAGGAAAGGGAATATAGAAAAGAAGTTTTGGAGGTTGTTGTCCCTGTAGTCCAAATGTCACCACATCGGCGGGTCATTTTGGTCCTGTGGTTCAACCAGCAAAGGGGAGGCAGCTGTCTTATCCTGTTGCCGCAGTGTTGCTGGCTAAAGCCACGGGAGTTTGCCCACGTGGGTCACATACCCTGCCAGGCAGCAAAGTGGTGATTTTGCTGCCAGTGAGGAAACAAGGCCATTTTACAAGATCAGGGGTAATGCACAGCAAGTGTTTGAAGGCAGAGGCCCAGCAAGGACAAGCTAGTCACAAGGAGGGTGATCGTTACAGGATGTAGACAAGAAAAGATAGGAATCAGAGGAGGGCCCCCTAGACACCAACAGCATGAAAGGCATCTAAATCAAACAGAATTAGAGTCTCTGAACTAGGCCCAATACTTGAGAATAAAGATGAGAAAAATGTTGGAATGAAACAGGCACTGAAACTGACCAGTGGAGTTTATTGCTAGCGCTGCTGCCATCATGGACGAAGCATTTCCCCTATCTGGACCCTAACCTCACTTGCCAGTTATTGTGTTAAACATCCCATTCAAGACTGTAGTTGATTGTCTTATGATTTCAGTGAAACAGGAGGTTTAGTGATAGAAAGAAGCATATAACAAATCTGAGTTCAGTAAATGAATCATTTTTAGTGACTGAGGATAGAGAAAGACCAGTTAGAAAGTTCTGAATGGGAAGTAAAAAGTGTACAATATAGAAATTCTGAGCTAAGAGGCAGGCATATTTCAAGGTATGAACAGTCATCCTACTCAATTTAAGGATATTTATTCTTTGTCACTGGCCTTTGGCATACATAGGCTAATTTTATTTATTTTTAAAATCTTAGCTGATTCAAGCTTATGACTGTGCAAAGATGAGAATGTAGGCTGGGAATGTGTATAGAAGAATGGTTTTAATAAACCAGGCTGTAATTTTTTTGTACTAATTGTCTACATATTCCAAATTGGAATTCACCCCTCCTCCCAAAACACGCCATTGCCCAAACCCATTGCCCTACAGACTACTGCACAACCAGGGGTGGCTATGCCTCTGCAACCTGGCTCGTCCCTCCCTAAGGATACAATGCTTACCATAGTTATATGACATGAAATATGCTTTGTGTTATTTGCTGATGTATTGAGTAATAGAATGTCAGATGGAAGCAAGTAAATTATTTTACAATGTATTTTAAGCCTTACTTGGAAAAGTAACACCATCAAATACTATTAAGAAGTCATTGATGTTTGACTTTACATAGAAAGTAAATCATCAATAAATAGTTGCCAATGGTGAAAGAATGAATAAATAAGCAATTAAGCAATATCTATTCTTTCATTTGGGCTTAATATTTGTCTTTTTTCCACAGCATCCTGACTCCAAATATCATCTGAAGAAAAGAATCACTTCTCTGTCCTTGCCAATAGTTTCATCTTCTGAGGGCAGTAAAGTGCTCACTAGAGCGCCCATTCTACAATCAACACCTGTCACGCCCCCACCACTCTCTCCAGCCTTTGGAGGCACCAGTAAAATAGACCAGTATTCTCGAATTCTCTTTCCAGTTGCATTTGCAGGATTCAACCTTGTATACTGGATAGTTTATCTTTCCAAAGATACAATGGAAATGAGTAGCAGTGCTGAATAGCTTGCAGCCAGGACAACCTGAATTCTCTACGTTCTTGTTTCCTGTTTCCTATATTTTCTTAAAAAATAGTATTGAGACTTGTGTAGATGCTTTTCAGAACACGAAATCAAATTGGAAATCTGTAACGCAGCTTCAGTAAGCATGTGTGGGCAAAAAAGCAATAATCCTACTCCTCGAAATAGAAAGTTGAAGGTTGCTGAAAAATATGACTTTTCTTATGTCAGAAAAAAATTTTGTGAGGATAAAATGGGTTCAAGATGAATCTGTCAACCTTTGTCTTTCATTGTTCAATATTTTTAATCGTCACTGTGAATAACATTTACCACAAGGCAGATAAAATAAGAAATGCTGACACTTCCAAAGGTTGCCTTAAAATATGTTTATTTTGGCTTAGTTCCCAAGAGAGCAAAATATAAATACAGTCTAAATTTTTATCAGTAGGTTAATACCAGCATGTTGGAGGCCTTTATGCTAGTAAAATGGCTTTCAGTGGCATTGTAAAGCCTATGTTGAGCTTGGCCATTTGTTTTTAACCTCGCTGTGCTCTTTTACCTCAATAAAATGTGGTGTTTGTATACATATAAATTATACATAGCTCATAAATTATGTATGCATATGTACATAGCTGTAGTTGGACTAAAATTCAGTGTATTTTATCCTACCAAATTCTCCTTTTAAAATAATACACTTACTATAATTCTATGAGGTTGTAGAAAAAAGTAGTCATTATAAGGAAGCGTTATATATTATGACTGTGGTTATCTCTTGTGTTTTCCACATTTCTAATTATAACACTAAATAAAACAACAATTAACATGGTTCTCTGGATCTGTTTCATGCACCTAGAGAGACTTTCTTTAGGTGCGGAGAAGCGAAGTGGTTACCTCCACCCCAATGTTATTGCCCCTGATGAGAGGTAGGAGAAATGGGATAACCAGGCTCAGTTACGTAGTGCTGATAAAAGATTTGAATTTATATTCAAATAGTTCATCTTTCCTCTTTTCCTGCTCAATCAATCCCATTCCTTCCTGATGCTTCGCTCTAACAGTATTTCTCCCACATAGAATTGTTATAGGGAAGTAGGAACTAAGAGTAGGAGAAAGCATGTGGTATGATTTGTCTAAATGGACAAACCCCTGATTGGATGTTCCTGGGTCTTAAACATCACAGAGATCACCTTGAGACCAGAACCCAGAAAAAAAATTTTTTTAATACTACTACTCTTACTTTTACCCAGAAAAATGCAAACATACTACAGCTAAACAACTTTAAGTTTAATTGAAAACGCATTCTACTAAGTGTGAGGAGACTGAGGTGTCTGTGCAACTTCTGTATCATTTAGCTCCTTGGCCCAATATCTTTGTTTTTGGGAGACTCAGCTGTATTCTCATCTATAGAACGAGGGAGCTGATTAGATGTTCTTCAAAGACCCTTTCATTTTGAACCATGTATGTTTGTTTCATTATTATTATTTTCTATCTAAATAAAATTGGTATAATTATACAGGGTATATTAAATAATTAAATGTCAGGTGAGTGTTAATCATCTTATATGCTAGGTCACATTTAATCTACCTCACAAACCTGTAAAGAATATACTGCTATTATCTCCACTTAAAGATGAAGAAACTAAGGCTCAAAGAAGATGAATAATTTTGTTCAAAATCAAAGAGCACTCAAGTGCTGTAGCTGATAATCAAACCCAAGCGATGTGAATCCATAGCTTGTTCATTTAACCATACCTATACATGTCCTCATCTAATATGATATGATCCCTATTCTTTTTTCCCCTCTTGTATTCTCTAGTATTGTCTCAATTGTATCTCACTTTTTGTAAGAATTTTCCTGGGGTTCTGACATCACTTGTGCCCCTTGTCAGCCTTCATTCTACATGTCACTTATTACTCTCAGTCAGCATTTATGCTTAGAGCTAGAACAGATAGATAAAATCAAGTAAAAAAATTATAGACCTTATGTTCCTCCCCTATGAAGGGATATTTCAAGAAAAAACTTTATACAACTATAAAACTTTCAAATTCTCAAGATTCCAGAGAATGATGTTTCTCAGTGTATGCCATAGGAGGGTACTAGTGGTTAAGTGATAATAAAACAGTTTCCTTAGTGAAAAAACTGGAGGAGAGATGTTGAGGCAAAGTGAAGCAAATGTCTTTTCTGCTGGTCTTCTCACAGCCATGATGATACTTATGTGCACTATAAATCTCTAATACTGTAACATTTCCCAAATTCATATAACTCTAAGTATCATTTTGCATGGAGGAAATCCTGGGAGTGGCATTTTCCAGAAAACAATTTAGAACACACTACAGAAGATTCTATTTATTCTATTCCCTCTGAGGAGGGGCTCATCAGAGCCAGGTCTCAGATCTCTATCGTTTGTCCATGGCTGCTAAAATCTCAAAGCCTGAAGGAGAACACTTGCATATTTGGGCTCAGGTTCTTGAGGAAGAGCTACTAGTAACTGTGGGAGGACACAATGAGACTGGTTCTGGGAATGCAAAAAACTGGAGACTGAAACCCACTGTTGTCACAAGGTGAAAGGTAACATCAAGAGAAAAAGTAAGTCAATGAAAGAGACAAAATTCCTTTCATTTTCCTCCTGTCTTCCTGTCTCACTCCTCTGCTATCAGCAGAACCTCACAGAAATCCTTGTGTCAGAGAAGAAATGAAAATCACAGAGTTCTAGTCCAGGCATCAAGAAATAGAGTATAGAGGTTGGATATAAAGCTGACAGATAATTGCTTACTAACTAGCATAGCTTGTCCCTTTGGTTATTCAGTACCATCGACACACTTTTGTATATATTAATATTTATACTGTTTCACAACAATAAGATGCAAGTATTCTTCATACAAACAAATATGCTCACATCATTTGTCCAAAAAGGAGGTACACAAAAATCCCAACAGCTACAGTATCCATCACAGTATCTATTTCTAAGTGATGCTATTTACTCTTTCACAATCACAGTCCCAGTGGAATATTCTGTTTCCTAAAGACTCAATTACAAAATATTGTATTAGACTGTCCACATGCTGCTAATAAGGGCATATCATAGACTGAGTAATTTATAAGGGAAAGAGATTTAATTGACTCACAGTACCACATGGCTGGGGAGGCCTCCCAATCATGGTGGAAGAGCAAGGGAGATCTTCCATGGCAGCAGCAAGAGAGAGCTTGTGTAGGGGAACTCTCCTTTATAAGACTATCAGATCTCATGAGACTTTGTCACTATCACAAGAACAGCATGGGGAAGATCTGCCCCCATGATTCAATTACCTCCCACCAAGTCCCTCCCACAACACGTGGGAATTATGGGAGCTACAATTCAAGATGAGATTTGGGAGGGGACACAGACAAACTGTTTCAAATATATAGGAAGAAAAAATATTTATATAAAATAGTAAGGTGACAGCAAAAGGGAGGTAAAGAATGAGACCTTTTATTATATACAAATGCAAATATAGCTAAATATCCATTTGAATTTTATGTATATATAACTATATCCATATCTATGTAAAGGATAACCAGTGAAGAGTAAGATATGTATAGGTGCTATAGTTTTCATGGCTGTAGTTGATATTTATAAATTCCTTCTTCCACTAGCCTTTTCTCTTAGACAGCATCTTAACTGGTTGATTCGGAGTTCTTTACCTGGCAGAGTTATTGAAGGGTCTTAATCCATAGTCTTGTCAGATCCAAGTGAAAGGACACAAAGATAGATGTGTACCTGCCCCCCCCCCGCTACACCTTTTGTTCTGCTCTCTAATCTTTGCACATACCAGAGACTTCGTAAGTTCTGTGAGCACCTGTTTTTCTGCACGTACCAGAGATTTTGTTTTGCACATACCAGAGATTTCGTAAGTTCTGTGAGTACCTGTCTTTCTGCACGTACCAGAGATTTTGTTTTGCACATACCAGAGATTTCGTAAGTTCTATGAGTACCTGTTTTTCTGCACGTACCAGAGATTTTGTAAAGGTCACAAGACGTGTTTAAGTAAGATAAACTCTTGCTGCCATAAACCTGCTCTCCTGCCTCAAAGGTTGAACC